CCCCCCCCCCCCCCCCCCCCCCCCCCCCGCCATATAAAAAAAATTTGTTGATATTATGTTGAACAGGCAAACTTTATTAAAATATATTAACATTTGTGTAACTTGGAACTGATTAAAACATTATAACAGTAAAAAACCTTAGATTAAATACTTTTGCAATTAATCTCGATTAATCTCATTGTTATGGCAAAGTTCAATAATGAATTCAAAAGTAGTGTATTGCGCACTTTTATTTTAAAAGTACTGCTATATGAACAAAAGGGCAATAACATTTGGTTTGCAAACACTTTAAACAAATAAGGTTATTTTTAACAGCAGTATTCCCTTTACGCAATAGCAGTTCTATCTCTTCACTATCTGTGCTCAGTGTGTGACTGTATGTGAAACGTTCCACTGCTGTGAAACAGGAATAAAATGTTTCAGCACGTTTCATCAAAAATGTCTGTCTTGTGTCTTCATGACAGTCAGAGCATGTGAATGCAGTATACTGTTCATCAATATAATGCTGTAACTCCGAGGTAATGATGGTTACCCAGCGATGAAAGAATTAAGATACTTTACACACAATTTAGGTGTATTTTCCCTTTAACTCACAAGATGCAGGTAACATGTTTTATACTTAATGTGAATATAATTCATACTTTGTTGGCATCTTATTCTGAAAACCGGATGTTCGTCTGAAGAAATCGGATGTTGTCTCACGTTAATCTTTCCACTAACTTTCAAAATCCTTCGCTCGCTCCCGATCTGTGCCGTTTGAATGCGTTTACCGTGAATTTCAGCATATAGGTGCACTAAAGTGTAAGTGTCTGCTGAGTTGACCACAGAGATCGGAGTGTCTGCTGACTTTACCGCAGCGATGTCCAGTAGTCTCCATTCCTCCACCGCTGCCAGTGAGCAACAGACAAAAACGCACTATAAAATAATTGTCGGCGTTAATTAATTAATGCGTTAACGCGGTAATAACGCGTTAACTTGCCCAGCACTACTAATAATACGAATGAGTTTACAAATATATTGTGCAAAATTCTTATTTCTAACAGGCAATTAAAATTAACAAAATATTGGTGGGGACAATTGTGTCTTTCCCAAACTTTGGTCGTGACTAGTCCCTATAGACCATATGCAAACCTATGCCCTTGCACACAGTAGACAGGACAGAATCATCATAAAAACACTTCCAGTGTGGCTAAAATACAATGAGTTTAATTGTAATGTATTCTATATTGTAGGTCCACCTTGTAGACCAACATTACACCAAAGAGTTCAAGCCTTACCTGGGCAGTGACTACACCCTGGTGCCAGTCAGTGGGGAGAGTAAGGAGAAGGACTTCTTCGGGCCAGTGGTCAAGAGCTCAGACGTGGTCATCTGCACAGCACAGATCTTGTACAATGCTCTGACTAACATGGAGGAGACCAAACACGTTGAGCTGTCAGGTCAGTAGAAGTGAGCTTTAACATCCATAAATATAATGTTGGGATGACTGGCTGAATTGATGAAGGTTTTCTAATGGAGTTGTACATAGACATTGTACCCATGGTGTATTCATGCCTCCCTACAGATATTACTCTACTGATAATCGATGAGTGTCACCACACCCACAAGGACTCAGTCTACAACAAGGTGATGGCATTCTACGTGGAGAAAAAGTTGAAAAGAGAACATCCATTGCCACAGATCTTGGGTCTCACTGCCTCACCGGGATCAGGGGGCGCAAAGATCCTGGAAAAGGCGGTTGATCATGTACTGGAGGTCAGGGTTTACCGATTCACCTTTGGTTTTTACTGAAATTACAGTGAATTTGTCACTAATATGAGATAGTCTGTCTGATCTCCCACAAGTGTTTTCATCTTCATCTTTCTGTCCTTCTCAGATTTGTGCCAACCTGGACTCAGCCATAGTTTCAACTAAAAACTATGTCTCCGAGCTGCAGCAGAGCGTACCCAGACCCGTCAAGAAGTTTGACATTGTGGAGAAAAGGCTTGAGGTAAACTACATTTGTTCTTTGCTCTTTAAAACAACTAATGTTTCCAATTAATAACTGCTGTGGTAGACAGACAGTAATCCACCCTAATATAATAAACTGACCTGGGCACACCAAGATAAATGTTTTTTTATCTGCTTTGGCTCATATTTTAACAAACAAAAACTTCAAAACAATGTGAAAGATGGTATAATCACATAATATAACATGTGTTCTTCTAGGATCCATTCGGGGATCATCTTAAGTGCATGATGCAGATGATCCATGAGTACATGAACGTTCCTCCAGACTTCCCACTGAGAGAGTGTGGCACACAAGAGTATGAGGCAGATGTGGTGATACTAGAGCAGCGAGGTAAGAACCCATTTACATTTTTAATGTGATGGCAAGGAGAACACAATTGAAGCAAATTAAATGTAAAATCCAATGTGTAGAGAAAGCAATGCTTCTGTTGATGCTGGTACATAATGTGTCTATTTGGATCAGGAGTAAAAGAGGACAACAGACTGCTGGCACAATGTGCTCTCCACCTCAGACAGTACAACGATGCCTTGCTCATCAACGACACCCTGCGAATGATGGATGCTTATCGCTCCCTAGAATTGTTCTACAACAAGAAGTTTATCACAGCAATTGATGGAACAGACTTCTTCCTGGTGGGACTTTTCCAAGGTAGGAGTCCAAAAAGGATTAGTTACATGTCTTATTTTAATGCACATGACTTATATGTTAAGCTCACAATTTTGTCCATTCAAGCAATCATTAATATCACTATCCTTAAACACAGAGAACCAGGTGGAGCTGCAGACACTGGCAGGAGATTCTCGCTATGAGAACCCGAAGATGGGCAAACTTGAGAGCACTCTGCTGAAACAGTTTGGTCCAAGTGTGAATTCAAAGGGAATCCTCTTCAGTAAAACACGTAAAAGCATCCATTGCCTAAATGACTGGGTCCGCCACAATAAAGCCTTGCAGGAAGCTGGCATCAAGGCAGCCATCCTCACCGGGGCTGGCAATGGTAGCACTTACATGACGCAGGTGTGTTCACACACAATCCCTGAGCATTAAGTCATTCCAATTCAGTCACAACTTGTCTATAGATGGGTTTCTGTTTCGCATGACTCAGTCCTTACATGCTTTTCTCGCAGAATGAGCAGGCGGAGACGATCCGCAATTTCCGCCACAATACTGTCAACCTCCTGATCTCCACCAGTGTGGCCGAAGAAGGCCTTGACATCCCCGAATGCAACCTGGTGGTACGCTATGGACTGCTTACAAATGAGATTGCCCAGCAGCAGGCCAGCGGACGTGCCAGAGCGAGAGACAGTCAGTACTCAGTGGTTGCCGAGAAAGGGGGAAAGGAGGTGAAGCGGGAGCTCATCAATGAATATCTGGAAGAGCTGACGAAAAAAGCCATTGCCAAGGTCCAAGAGATGAGCGTCCGAGAGTTTCGCACAAAGGTGAGGCTGCGGTGCTCCGTACATCTTCATCCTTTACTCTCACTGCTTAGTGTTTCTGCCATCACCTTTTGTTCATCTTTGTCTCCAGATTACTGAGCTACAAAAGCAGGCAGCTATTTTCAGAAAACTTACAGAGGCACGCAAATTAGAGAAGAGGAGTTGCAACACAGCTGACAGCGTCCAGCTCTTGTGCCGAAACTGTTTAAAGTCTGTGGCCTCAGGCAGTGACATTAAACTTCTTGACAACGCGCACTATGTCAATGTCAATCCTGACTTTCAGTGAGTTGAACTCTTTGTGGTGTAAGAGTACATGCAAATCCATATGCAGGCTGAAGTGTTTGCAAAATGTCTTAACTGCTCTAATCATGGCTGATCTTTGCTCTCAGGAAACACTACAAAGTCGGTGGAGAAGTGATGCTGGAAAAGAGTTTTGAGGACTGGGAGCCCGGGCGTACGATCAGTTGTAGCAAGTGCAACCAGGTATAGTGGGTTCTCTGCCAATTAAAGTTAACTTAAAACTCAGAAAAGAGTTCAATGCAGGTCATCAACAGCGTTGATGTGGGTGGGATGTCAGTTTTATTCTTCTTTGAATTCACAGGACTGGGGATTTGAGATGAAGTACAAGAAGGTTGCCCTGCTGCCCAATCTAGCCATTAAGAAATTGGCCCTGGAGACCCCTGATGGCAGGACGACTGTGAAGAAGTGGAAGGATGTCCCTTTCACTGTCGAGGACTTCAGCTTTGAAGAGTACTGCCAAGACAACTTCCCTGACCTCCTTGATTGAGACACCAGCAAGAGAGCGCTGTGTAGGTCCCCCCCCCTACTTCTCCCCTACTTCACATTTACATCTTTATCTTCTATTGGTGTTGGATTACCTGTGCTCATTTAGAGAAAGCGTCATTTAAGGTGCTTATATACTAACACAGGCTTTTTCAAAAATTCACTCCTCACATGCTTGCAGTCATTTGTGCTGCCGGGCTAGTGAGGCAGCAGTGTTCTTAAACCTGTTACGCATCAATCATGCTTGAAATTAGCATGACAGTTTCATTCATGCCCAAGGTCCTAAAACTCCCTTTGCATGTTTTTGTGTGTGTTTCCTCCGCTTCATGCCAAGTCAAGCACAGAAACAAAGCACACAATGAACTCTGCTGTAACATGAACCTTAACCATCATGAACACTCGACATGTCATCACGAAGATGAACTCTCTTTTAGCTATTTTAAGTTATGTTTTTAACTCGTAAATTACTTTTCACAGTTGATGCATGTATGTGTGTCTGGGGTACGTGGATGTTGTGTATGTACTGATAATCTCAAATATTTTATGTACTTATTCAAGTGTTTTACAGGATATAAACACTTTCATTTTATTTTGTTGCTGTATACTATTTTATAACAAATGATGGACAATGTAAAAAAACTTTAACTGCAGAGATGACATTTTAATAAACATTCCTCTTAAAATGCCAAACAGATCTCTTGTAATTATTTTTGCACTTATTAACCACTAGGTGTCAGTGTTGATTAGCCAATCAAGTCAATTTCTCTACTTCAGACTTGCTGTAAAAATGCAGTCTAGGCAGACAAACGTGTAGCTCTCTTCTCACACTCCCCAAACTTTGCGGTTATATCCTTCTGCTTCAGTAGTTTGCATTGTTTGCTAGTAGAAGATGGTTGATTACAGCCTCCGGATATGTGTATCTGACATCTCGAAAAGAAAAACAAATGTACTCCGTTGACAGGAAAAGGAAAAGGGAGTATTTCCGTGCATTAGTTCCGATGCAAACAGTGGCTGTAATAATGTAACTGTGTCTTTGTGCGTGTTTAGATAGTATGATGTAAAAAGATGCCTTATACCACAACATCTGCGAGAGCTTCCCTTTGTAGAGTGAGTGAAATATTTTGACTGCAGCAGCTCACTATGTTTCTTCTGCATCAATGGATCAATACAGGGTTATGTATTCCAGTTTGGATCATTTAACACCATCTACACAGTCCACATAGAGGAACAGTTGTATCAGACTTGCAAATGATCATTGAACACACCGGCCTCAAAGATATATTTTACCGCATATTAACTTGAATCCTCAGCTTGATTTAAGCAATCCTCAAAAGACAGATTTAGCCAGCTAATCGCGTAAAACAGTCTCTGCTGAAGATATTTACGGCTTCATTTTGCTGCTGTGTTAACATACATGAATCAAGCTTGATATGCAGCAGCACAACTTCGGCTATAATGAGCAGTTTCCAAAACAAACTCAGATTATGAAACAAAATCAACTGTGGGGAAGCCATTCATTTAAGGCCTGGCAGCTGTATTTGGTAGATCCACTTTTGACCCACGCACCACATCTTTGTGTATTTCTGGGCAAGACATGATGAAGTCAACCTCACTGTGTCACATGTGCCGTAATCCTTTCAAAATCTGGCAGAGAGCTGGAGTCAGTAGTGCAGCCATGGATGTAATCACGCTAAAACAGGCTCTGTTCCGGTGTCATGCCTGATTCTGATTCAGGCAGGCGGAGTGGAGCCGTACAGTGTATGATTTACTCTGATCAGGCTCAGGCTCCATAATCAACGCTGATTACTTCCTTTTACTTCCCAGCTCAACACCCCATGCATCTTAATTGCAATTAGCTCTCTTCTGAAATTAAAGAAGCTTGGAGGAGTTGAGCAAAGGATGATGTGTTGTGTAGGTGTGTGTGTGTGTGTGTGTGAATTTAGGTGATGCACATATAGACTCACATTTATAGTATGGCCTCTTGTCATATATAGATATCCAGGCCACACAGGACTAATCTGTCTACTGTATATGTCCCATTTAATGAGCACTACCAGTCTGTTTCTAGAGGAGGGAAAGCACGTCTTACAGCTCAGAGACTGACATCATAGGATCTTATTAAACTATGCACACATTAACAAAAATTTCCAATATACGAGGCAACAACTTTCTAAATCGTGACATGACTTTGTCCAATTCATATATCATTAAAAATCTGAAAGCAAGATGGAGCATGTTTATAGGGACCCTCGTTCTTTTGGGGCATGTTTAAAGCTACGAGAATCTCAGGACTAATTGTGTTGGTGCTAACACGGTTAATTAGAGCTGTAATGATAAAGTGTGTAGGCGATTAGTTGTTCAACAGAAAATTTACTATTTTGATAATTGTCATTTTCCAAGCAAAAAAAGGCCCAAACCTGTCTTTGTTTATCATATGTGAGTACTTGCTGCTCTCTTTTGTCATATAGAAGTTAAATGAATGTATTTGGGTTTTAGACTGTCAGTTGAACAAAACAAGCAATCTGAATGACCTTGGGAAACTAAAATGGGCATTTTTTCTAACTATTTTCTGAAATTGTATGAACAAAGTCGTTATTAATTAATTGAGAAAGTAATTAGCAGGTTGACATCAAAATATTTTTTTTCAGTTAAGTTCGCTTTATTTTATTTTTTTCAAACTGAGCTAACACAGCATGATACGGGCCGGCGGGACTGCAGCTCCGTAGTTGTCATCTGGTGGTGAGTGTGTTTTCAAATTAACTGCGAATTGGCAGCATTCGTTCGCTCACGTCACGCGGTTTACTTTTACAGCTGTAACGTTGGTTCTGGGAGATCTGTAACGATAAACTGCTTTTCGTGACTCCTCAAACAAAGTGTACTCTGACCGTGTTGTCCCATTCGTAGCGTTGTATTGAATCAGGGTGACGCACGTGCAGCTGGCGTGCCACTGTGTGTTGATGACAAGTCTGTCATCAGCATAAACTAAAGTTTTTTTGTTGTGTTGCTGTAGTCTGTCGTGGGCCTGTTTTGATTGTACATGGTCAATACCCTGTTGTCATCTGGCTGAAACAGAAAGTGCACGGCTCAATGGCTCACAGGTTAATGGAAACCTCGACCATATTTGTTTGTTGGCCTATTTTGACCAATACATGATTACCTGTGACCTTAGTGCAGGCAAGAGTTGTGAGCAGTTCAACCAAAGAGGTTTCCCCCCCTTACTCTGTTTCATTTGAAAGATTTTAAAGATGCCTGAAGTTCACAATTAAAAAAGCAAAAAGTCAGCAGAAAAGTCAGCAACTTGACAAAAGTCTACAGCCATACTAACAGCTCTGCAGGCTGTATGTAGAAGTTACTTAGACACAGTGGTAACATGTTGACAGCACAAACACACTGCTGTTTAGATTGATGTCTACCATCTTCAGCATTATATTAGCATGCTAAGCGATCACCCATATGTTCCCAGGGTCCTATGTTCCTGATTTAAACTAGTAATCAGTATTGGTAACTCGTAGGTACTTAAGATTGGTAAAAGCTATCCTCACAGTTTGAATTGCAAAAGATCAAAGGGACATTGATGTTTCCAATGCAATTAGAATGGTAACAAATCTGTTTAGCCACTGTGAAGATATCAATGTCTAAAGTCAAGAAAACTATTTCCTGCCAATTTGGGGCCAAAGGTTTCAAGGAGTACTTCATCAATTTCAACATATTGACCAAAAGTAACATACATTGAACATTTGACCTAGGGGAAATGTTTGATGGAAGTGTTGTTACTTTTGCAGCTATTTGGTTATATTTTTGGGGGGCATAAGTAGTTTTAATTGTATATTATGAGATCGTTTTTTAGAAGTCTAGATGGGTCATCATTTCCTCTCTGATCTTTGATGTTGCTGTGAAAACATGTCCTTCAAACTGTATTTATTCAAGTTTCTTGTGCCAAAAATATTTTTACAAAATTACATTTGAACACATCATGATGACTTTGTAATTGACCTTTACCCATTATTATTTTGTACTATTTGGAGCTTAAACGCACCATCATGTAACTCAATGCAACCTCAGTTGACGTTAGCTGTTGGCTCCATTATGAATAGGAATGTGCTGTACTCTGAGCAGGATACATGTGAATGACTTACAATATAATAGGCCTTCGTGTCTCATTAAGTTAGTTGTACCAAATGCGACAATGCTGCAGGACTGTGCTGTCAACTGGCTGCTAACGTTAACTAGCTCTCCTTTTGCCGAGTTCATCGGATTTGTTGTTCACAAATTTAGCATTATCGGAGATTGGCGAATAGCAATATTAATGTTGATCTAACGACTGAATTTGACTGAATAGCGATCCCGAATTAAGATCACATTTATTTTTCACTTGGCTGTATCGGACAACTGCATGATTCTTTCCACTTGACCAAACAGAGATTACTTGGCCTGGGCAAGCGGGCAAGCTTTCATTTCGAGCCCTGGCACATACCTTGTTGAAAGCCAGAACTTGCAGGAAAAGTTTTTAGATGCCAGAAGTGGTATAACTCGTTCCTCACTACAAGTCCTGTGGATTATTTTGATTAACCGGGCCATGCCTTTAGGAAAGAGACATTGCTGTTTTTTGTTGTTTTTGGCGCAACACAAGCCAAGTGCCATATAGTCCCATTATATTTGAGAGAAGGCAGAAGTCTCTCCGGCCAGTATCTTCAAAACTAGGCAACTACGCACTACAACCATCTAGATTGATGAGTAGCACTATACAGGTAAGAGGAAAAAGGTATTTTTGATTCTGGGCTGAACTGTCCCTTTTTAAAAAAAATGTATCTCAGGATACTGTGGGAGGTCCGTCAACCTCCAGTTCTATATTTTACTTTTTTAAATAAGGAAGTACTGTAATCAGTCTGTGCATACAATTAATGTTAGGCAACATTTCTATGAGTGGACCACAAAGTCCATCACTAGCTCAATTTCCTGGCTGCCGACAGAAATCACACCTGTCCGGCCAGTGTCACACATGAAGTAAGTAAGACAAACACACTGTCAACAGTTGCACAGTTGCTTCCTGCTTGTGTAGTCGACATACACACACACACACACACACAGACACACACACACACACACACACACACACACACACACACACACACACA